TGTCTGTGTTTATTGTTTAATGTTATATGGCCCCGGTTGTGCACAGTATATATGTGACTGTACGAAAATAAAAATGGAAAATAAAACATTTACAAGGAAAAAAAAAGAAAGAAAGAAAGTATGCCAGTTGAACTGCTAATTTTCTTTGATTGGAAATAACACCATTGCCTTCTAAAAAAGTTGCCATACTTATATCATCATCATCATCATCATCATCATGTCATACTATAAGTATGTGTTTTCCAACTTTGGCAATTTGAATATGTGTGTAATTCAACTCCCAGAAATCCCCAATCAGACATGTTTGGCTGGGGAATTCTGGGAGTTGAAGTCTACACATCTTCAAGCTGCCAAGATTGGCAAACACTGTCATGTACAGTTGGCTCATCTGTGAAAATTGTAGCAGGCATCTTAATGGTTGGACATGCAGTTCTGGTATAGTTGCTAGTTTCAATCGTATCTGTTACTATCTTCTGATTTACTTGCTGTTGGGGAAATAGTTTTGCCCCCAACCTCAACTGAGAAGCTCCAAATTTCTTTCATCCACTTTTCTCACTTGCAGCTCACCATAAGGTAATTCACTCTTGCTCTATGTTTCTGATGGTCTTCTACCAATATCAGGACCTGGTTTTCCACACTGGCATGTAGTCTCTGGATCTCCACCTGGGAAAGAAATGCCCATCAAACTCAATACAGAAGATTTGTGTTATCACATAGCCATTCAGAGATATGCAGGTGTTGTGACATATTGACACTGTGGAAGCGTCAACATTAGAACAGAATGCAGGGTACTCATATATTGAAGTATCATAATTTAAAATACCTTTTTACCAAACAGTCATAAACCTTCTGTCTCAATTCAAATTTCTATTGCAAAACAAACATCAGCATACTATATTGTCAAGTACACCAACCTGTTATCTGTGAATTCATTGTGGTTGCAAAAACTTTCCTTAACACTCATGAACAATTTTTCATCCTTTTCTTTAAAAAAAAACATTAAACAAAATACATATTTTGATTAGCACCAGTTTTCAAAATACAGTATTATTTCCAAGAATATCCATAGATTCTGCAGAGCTGAACAGTTTTAGTTTTAAATCCCACGTGCCCACCCAAAAGAGCAAACTAATCAAGGGGCTGCTAATAATACCATAGAGGGTAAGAGAGAGAGGATGGCAATGAACAACCTCATCTAGTAAATGTGAGTTCAGAACCCCACTTGCTAAAGCAGTTATTTTGACTGAGTAAGAAATTAGTGGCAGCCAATTTCCTTTAGAGTTCATCGTGTGTTCTCAGAGTAGCAAATATTCCCGAAAAATTGCATTAGATCAATTGTTCCTGCTGCCAAAGCCCACACTTCCAATCTTATCCTTATTCAGCTTCTGTAGAAAATTTGCCTTTTTTGTTATAAATCAGATGATCTTTCTGTTATAAGTGAGGGAAGTGTGCTAACTTTAAAAACTTTTATTTATTGTTGGGGGGGGGGGGCTTATTTCAAAGTACCATGGAATTTTGTTTGTTACTTTGATTTCCCTGACCTGGGATCTTCCAAATAGGCTTCCAGATCAGGAAGTTGTAATCAGAATCAACTAGCATCAGGATACCGTACAGGGTCTTATTTTCGGGGAAAACACAATAACCTGATGCTAGCTGACAGGGTCCTATTTTCTTTTGACTCCGGAAATCAGGCCTTGACCTAATTTTTGTGGAGGTCTTATTATTTTTGAGGTGCAGGAGACGGCGAGTTTGGTCATCTCATGGCTGCTGCTGTGTTGTAGTATTTTCAGGGAGGGCTTATTTTCAGGGGAGGGCTTAGTTTAGGGCATGCACTCAAAAGCTCAATTGGGCTTATTATCCGGGGAGGTCTTATTTTCAGGGAAACAGGCTAGCAAAGACTGTTTTCATGCATGTTAACACATCAAGGTTAGGAAAAGAAAAGAAAAAAATCACTAGGAACTCTTTGCAGAGCCCAGCACTTTTTCTGTGGCAATAGAACAAAGTAAGGGAATACTTTTTATCTTGTTTTTCTTCCTTTCCTCTGTGTGTGGGTACAGAAACAGGATAAGGCTATAGAAATCATGGCCTAAGGATGGAAGAAAAAATGGCCGATGCCACGCAGGTGTATCAAACTGGCGGCCCCTGGGTCAAATGCGTGATGTGCAGGCCATGCCCACACCGGCTCCATAAAGGGGAAGAAAGTTGCGATACATCACATGATGGCAACGGACGCGGCAAGTTGGACACCTGTGCCATTAAGAGAATACATTTCAGTGATTGTGACACTACCCAATATGGCTGAACAACTTATAAGAATGGCTGGTGATGAACATATGGCAGAAACAGAAATACTAACGTACAATCCACGAAGCGTGGGAGGAATCTTGGCATATGAATGCATATGTTACTGCTAGTTCGCTTTGCACGCACTTTGTGCATGTGCTGCTTGCTTCGCTCACGCGCCCGCTACACGTTGCTTGGGCATGCATAGTTGCCTATTAATTGTTCTGCACATGTGCAGCACATTATAAAATGAGTAAAAATCATGCTGGCAATGGCATGGGCAACTGGGGAACCAGTTCAGGGCGTGGCCAGCTGGCTGTCCCTACCAGTTCGGCGACCCAGTCCAAATGTCCAGTTCACCCGAACTGGTGCAAACTGGTAGCAACCCGCCTCTGGGCAACAGGGTACACTCTGACACACAAAGGCATATACAAAAACTGCTTACTTCTTTCTTTCTTCTTTCTTGCTTCAGAGAAATGGCTTCATGGTTCTTATGCTCTTCCCGGACACAGATTTGGCAAATAAATTTCCCTTCCTCTTTGCAGAATAGCTCTAGCAGCTTACGATGTTTGGCACACATGCTGCCTTTCAAGTCACTCAAAGGTTCCACCAACTGGTGGTTCTTGAAAATCTTGTCTGTGTAGTGAGACTGGATGTGATTATCACACAGGGAAGCTATACATTGCAAGCAAGACTTGACTGCTTTTAACTTTTGCGAGAAACAAAAATCGCACGGGACATTCTTGAAACCAGACAGGTTCTGTGGATCTTGAGTTTCCTCCTGTGCAAATCTCATTGCAATTTCTCCCAGGGTTATATTTTTGCGGAGCTGAGGTGTTGAACTGAAAGGTTCCCGGCACTGAGGGCAGTAAGGTTGTTCCCCAATCAGAGCTAGGTGTTCCCAATAAACCTGCAAGCAACTCATACAGAAGTTGTGCCCACAGGCTGTGGTGACTGGGTCTTTGAATACCTCAAGGCATACTGGACATACAATATTGTCTTCAAGAAAAAGAAAGCCAATCTTCTGCATTGAAACAGGAAACTTTATTCTTGGCTTTGATTCACACGATTTTCAAATATGTCCAAGTCACCTATTAAAAAAAGTATCTGTAAAACAGGAACTTTTGACCCTCAAGGGGCTCATATTATGATTTTTAAGTTTACGGGACTCAGAAATGTATACACTCAAAGCTATTCTTACTTTGCATTATCTCCAGTGGTGGGTTCTGGATCCCGTCGCAACTGGTATGCTATGCACAAGGATGGGTGTCCTAGTTGGGTACATGCGCTGTGCACACATGTGCACACCACCGCCCTGATACTCAGATGTTCGGCGGTGGTCACGCAGGGGCTGCACACTGTGCATGTGCGCAAAATTGGCCAGTTGCTTTATAAACATGGGTGGCCAGGTGAGCCAAACGAGCCACCGTACTGGTATGGTAGCCGCTGCTCCTGGCTACTACCGGTACAGCTGTACCGGGCCGTACCACCCGGAACCTACCACTGGTTCTTTCATGCATGCTCACTCATTTACTCACTCATTCTATGTGTGGCAAACTAGTACCTGTAGTTTTTTCTGAAAATATTTTCAGATTTAGGCCTCAGAGCTGAGATAAAAGTAATTGGCCCAAAATCACCAGCTGGCATCATGCCTAAAGCAGGATTGGAAATCACCATCTCCCCTAGCCTGGTGCCTTCATCACTACACCAAAGTGGCTCTTCAATCTTACATCTATCATACATAATCATTACCTCTACTCCTCCAATGGTATGTTCAGAGTGAACATATAAATCTTCTAACCAACCCTGTGGTGTAGGTAGTTGGCTGCTTATTGAGGTAAACCACTAGCTTTCAACAGGGTTGCTAGAAGTACCTGAGCTTCTTTCCTTTGATTCTGGTTACCTCTGTGGACCATATGTTATGGCTAAGAACTTCATGTAGCTTTTGGATCCTAGACAGTCCATTTCTGCTACTGAAAATAGAATCAACACAATCTGAAGAACAGGTAAAATGTAATTTAAAGTCATATCATGAAATAAATGTATTTTCTAATACAAATACAGATCTGAATAGGCTTTATCTGCTAATTTAGTCACCTATTAGTGAACTTTTTGTGCAACATGACTGGTTCAGTCCACAATCTACTATTTAACATGAATTGTATCAGGTTGTACTATCAATAGCAGGATCCCAACTAAATCTCTAGACCTGAATCAACTGACTTTGAGTTTGGTCTGCTGAATCCTTATCACACTTTGAAAAATAACATATTCTCTCCACCTATTTTTTTTGAAACTTGTGTTAAAAATAAAGATTTTTTTTACCTGTTTTTATTTTTTTCAAAACAAAGTTAAAATACAAAATACAGTACTAAAAAAAAATCCAAAAGGAAAACAACACAAAACTTAAAACATTAAAAAGGTGCATCAAAAAAGACATATCATTGCAGCAGTCTCCTGGCCCAGAAACGGATGCTATTGGGGTAGAAACTGAACATCTGAATAAGGCCACTAGTTGGCACTCTATGACAACTGTGTTGCTGCCCTTGCCACAAAGTAGTACCTCTGAAAGGCTCTTACCTACCGTATGTTCAATTGATTCTGCTCTTCATTTTCCCCAGTGGCATTCTAGATTTATTACGTTGCTGTGTCACCCAGAACTCCTTTGAAAATCAAGGGGCCCTCTAGGATCCATATGCAGAGGTCACATAGGTGCGATCCAATCCAAGCAAAAGTTACTCTCTCATTTCAAGCAACAACTGAAGTCTCAGTCAAATCATGTACCAGAGTCCTAGAAAGAATCCTAGGCTTCATTGGAACCCAACGTTAGATGCCTGGGCAGGCCAGTCACATAGGTCTTGCTTCCTTGCAACATCGGAGACCTCCAAAGCCAGCAGGAAGCTCTATCTGTCTGTGGCAAGGGATTGATGGTAACATTCCCCAACTCCTCTGCCACTGCCTCTGTTGTCACCGGTTCCACCACAAAACCGCAGAGGACAAAATCGTGCTCGACGAAAGCGCGCATTTGATGTCATCACAGCGCGACGAAAACATCGCGCTGTGATCGAAAAATGTAAAAATAAAAGCGAAAACCTTACCCTAACCCCCCCAAACCTAACCCTAAACCTAACCCTTAACCTAACCCTTACCTTTATGTGAATCGGCTTGCTTTAATTTTAATTTTATTTCAATTTTTAATTTTTTTCATCGCGCTGTGATGACGTCAAATGCGCGCTTTCGTCGAGCGCAATTTTGTCCTCCGCGGTTTTGACGGGTCACGGTTGTCACCGACTGAATCAAAACCTTGCTCAAGAATGCAAAGCCAGAATGGTTTTATAAATCTGCATGATGTTACCGTTTTTTAATCATGTATGTTACCATGGAGCTATTACCTTCCCAAGTAGGAAAGTATATTTTGTTCTTGTAATTGTTACGGGCAGACACCATAACACTCAAGGCAATTAAATTAAGTTGTGATACTATAGTTCTTCAGATTTCTCTGAGCGGTATTATCTGCACTTACCTGTTAAAAGTCTGTTGCACTTAGCAATAGGTACTCTACTACAGCTCCAATGATTAAAGGTTTTCAGTTGTGGTCTTGTCCCACTCTTTGACTTGACTTTCCACCTGTTTATAGCCAATCATGGGGTCTGAATTTGCCAGGTGACATCATAGTTCAAACTACAGAGGAGGGAGGAGTAAAGCCCTTTGGTTATGATGTCATTGGCAAGCTCATCTAAATAAAAATGTTAAGGATCTCTCTGCTATGCCCTTTCAAGATTATAGGCATCCATAACAAGAAACACTATTACACGATTTTTAATATAGCACACACAAGACCCAAACATCTTGGTCCACTGGCCTCAAAAAAACAAGTGATAAATAAGCCATGGTTTCTTTCATTCGTTTTCTATTGGAAAAGCCCTCCTTGTATGGATTTATCATTCTGCCTTAGGAAGTTATTTATATTGTATCTTGGGTAGCTTCCGTTTATCAACCTATTACATATTCATCTATTGCTTGTAGAATCAGAATCACTGCCACCACAGTTGGCTATTCTGAAACAGAATTCCTAATCCCACAATATACCTGATTTTATTATGTTACTAAGGAATAAATTAAATACATCATACAAATGTATCTGAAAAATCTCTTTATAAAAAATTATTTTCCAAAACCACACAAACCCCAAAATGCAGACACATACTTTTAAGTTTTAAAATTTAAGACCCCTTACAAATATCACTATTGGGAAGCCTACAGTTACAATTACTATTCAATAATGGCTTCATTCTCCTTTTCAGTGATTTACTCAAAAGTAAATCTTCGCCCTTACTTTGATGGCAAGAATTTTTAATTAAAAACAAAAAATTAGTGCATCTAAAGACTTCTGTGTAAAAGACCCTCAATCTTTAATATCAGCAAAGCAGCAAGATATAAAATAAAATTGGGGAAAAAAACCAACCCAAGCACAAGTCATGTCAGAGTCTTTATTGGAAAAAGAAATCACAGCATCTCCATTATTATTCAAACACATTTAATAAACCAAGAGAAACAGTAGCAAAGGGCACAGACATGTGACAAACTGTACAAAACCTCTAGGCTTGCAAGCAAAACCTGAGGGTGAGGAGCCCACGGCCCAGCTGTGAAAGTCCGAGGAGCCACCCCCATCCCTTTGTGGATAACCCCCTCCCCCTTGGACCATTCAGTCACCCCTGAGAAAAATTGATTAAAAATGTGCAGAAACAAAGACACTTTTAAGAGGTTAGCTCCAACCTTGCTGTAACGTAACAATTGGGCCGCTGGGTTTCTCAACCAGGTACTGGTCCCCAGGGGCTAGCTAATGGTTTAAAAAAAACCTCAAGAGATGGACATCACTCAGATGAAAAGCCATCCCACCACTGGCTTCCGTTGCCTTTTACTGCCTTTCATGGGGAAACAGTATCTATATTCATGCTCCAACTTTAGTTTAGTCTCAACCACACAAAGGCAAATGCAAGGAAGAGCCCTGTTGCCAAGAAGGCAAAGTTACAACTGGTGGAGAACATGAAAGCCGATTCTTGAATTTAACAGGGTCTGAAGGTGGCTTCTCATCTTGAGAAAAGAACATCCCAGGTGGGTGAGCTAGAATAGTGTCTTGCTGTAGCTGGAATTCAAGCCCTTATATTAAGAAAGCTCAGAGCTTTCCCAATCCCTAATACTGTTTCTGTCTCCAACTAAACTGCTTCTCATTTCAGGAAGGATCCCCAAACCACAAGAAATATTTAATAAGGGATGGAAAAGAGAAGGTAGTCATGTTCCAACAAAAAACTAGATTTGCTGAAAACCTCTCACAACTTGTGAGCAGCAAGTGAACAAGAGGGTGGCCCTATTTATTTAGCAGAAACATTTTTTGTGTGTTTAGCTCAAATCTTGCTCTAACAGAGCAGCTTCCTCTCAAATCTGATTTTATTCCAGATTTAAATGGAGCTGTTTTCAATGGCACCTACATGTACAATGAAATGAAATTACTTTTAGCAGTTCATCTACTTGACATCAGGCACTCTTCTAATGTGGCTTTCCCATGCATGGTGTTTCTGGTGATCATAACATAAATCAATGAGGTATTTGTTTTAGTTTACTAAAGCTACACAGTTAAGATCTGCTTCCAAGCAAATCTAACACTGCTACATACCCACCAAGGTGGGGAATGAGTTGGGTTAAGCCACGTTGGAAATGGCAGCTATTCTTAGCAGCATCCTCTGATTTTTTTTCCTTTCAACTAGTTCATGCCACCACGATCTCCCTTCTTTGGAAGGAGAGATTATGAGGATACATCTGTGGTTCTTATACTTCCTCACAACACACACACAAACACATCTGGTTATTTCTCAGCTGTGGACATACACTTGACAATGGCTGAAAGAACAAGATACTCATAGATTTATGTACAAATCACAGTGTTCGTTAAATCCAGCCTGATCATGCCAATACCAACACATTACAAACAGGAAGGATGAAGAAGGACAAGAAAGTTGCTTGAATTCCAGAGTGTGAAGCTGGTTGAGTATTTTTTAGCAGCCAGAAAATGACCTCAAGACCTTTGGTACAGTCTGTTGCTACAGGGACTGAATAATGCACATTATTCAAGCTCTAACCCATCAAAACATCACTGGAGGCATGTTGGCAAAATGGTGGGGAAGCTCAGTGATATACAGTATGTACAGAAATACTGGAGATTAATGGAGAATGTGGAGCAGGATAATTCGGAACCCTGAATTTCATTTTAAAACATTTTTGCTTCATCTGCAATATATCTTCCATGCTTTCAGTAACCATTCACTATCCTCTTTGTTCCCATTCCTTTTGTAACTAAGAAGAAATAAAAGGGGACGCCTCATTACCACACACCATAAAACATGAAAAAGACACTGAGTGCAACTCTTTGCTGAGAAATTCCAAGCAAACCAATTGGAATATAAGGGATCCTACTCCGATCACTGACTAATATGGGAGCTTCAATTATTGCCTAGGGAAACCAAAGCACTGCAGTTTCTTTGATACTTTAGTTCATTATGCTCAGAGCTTAATTCAAAGGCCCAGAAGCCAAAGTTGACTAACGAGAAACAAAGGCAGAATGTAGAGCAAATACTTCAGGAATTCCATTTACCAACAACTAGAAGGGATATTTCACTGATTAGGGATGGCACAAATTAATTGACAAAATCAGCAAGTCCCATTTGTCTTAAGAATAGAATTCAGAGAGGCACAACATTGTTACTTCCATTCAAAGCATTCCAACAGAAAAAAAAATACAGAAGTTCACAAATCACTTTGGACAAGAAACATTGCAATAGTTTGGCAACTGTCATCATTTTACACCTCCCTGCCCCACCCACCCCTCCTCAACCTTTAGTCATTTGGGATGAGAGGACACAAGGAGGGATGAGAAATTTCAAGCACAAAATCATAATGTGTAAATAAAAGACTCTCTATCCCTGGATCTATTAGGTAAGAGTTAATAACCAAAATAATTAAGAGTACAAATGAAAACCTGCTTTAATGCAGGATGTCAAGAGAACAAGGGAATAGTTTCATGCTATTGAAGACAAGGCAAAGCTGAACTTGGCAGGAACAAATCTTCCATATCAACGAACTATTTGAAATAACCCAAAGGACACATTCTAGCTTTGGTGAGAGAAATGGGGCATAAGCTTCCTTCTTTCCTCTCTTTTCACAGAGAAGAAACAATACGACAGAATCTAAATATCACAGGTAATTGGACACCTTAAAAGCATGAAGAATGCTGACCAAACTGCACTGCAAGAAATGCCTACAGTTAAATTTGTAGTGTTATCAGAAGAAAAACCCTTCAGCTAATATCACATCCCTCACTCAACTTTCTTATTTAACAGCTCTGAACCAGTAACATATTAAAAAAAAAAGCTTGGTGAGTGAAAATGGAGAAAAAATATTTAATTATTCATTTTCAAATCTATTTTCCCTTGACCTGAATATCTCTAACCAAGACAATTTTTCTAACTAAAGCATTAAAAATAGCAGTGTGAAACCAAAACAAAAGTCTGCTCTTTATCCAGGCTTGTGATGATATAAATATATATATATATATAT